TTTTTTTTTTGCCTAATAATAAACACCTTCATTTAAACACTGTATTTTGTGTGTACTTGTGTTATTTTTGTCTTATATTGTAATTTGTTTGATGTTTGGAAACATTTGTTTGTGACAGACATCCAAGAAAATCAGGAAGGGAGCAAACACTTTTCACACCACAATATATCCTTTAGATATTACAGTAGACTGCAATGCAACAATGACTAAATATCATACTTATATAACAGTGGGGGTGATGCTTGAAGATGGTGAGACTTATTTATTATATCAGTCAGACAGCTCAGGTTTGGGTGGTTTGGAGGCAATGTTAGGGAAGCAAGGCTGAGATGTTTGGGACATGTATGGAGCAGAGATAGTGGCTATGTTGGGCAAAGGTTGGAGCTGCCAAACAGGAGTAAAAGAGGAACGCTGCAGAGAATGTTTATGGATGAATGCAAGAGAAAGAGTGAGATGGAGGAAGATAATCCACTGTGGCAACCTTTAAAGTAAGAAGGCATGAAAATAATATACTGTTATTATATAAAATATAATTCAAATAATCAAAGTCGTTTATTTTCTTCAGTGTATCATGTCTAAAACATAATTTTCTAATATGACATTGAGCAGATTTCTTTGTATAGGTTTTGTGAAGAGCCTTCATTGGTATCCTTATATTATTTTTTCTCATTTCCCTTTCTTGTAAAACAAACAAAAAAACGTCACCTGACTGAACAAGCCACAAAAAACTCAACGGCACTTTAATTTTGAAAAGTCGCACCGGAAGTGATATTGAACTTCTGCTAGACCGCTAACTAGCTGGAGTTTGTTGTTCCTTCAGCAATCGCTTCTAGAGTAGCTGTCATTTTCTAGCTTTTCGAGGTTGACACATCGTGTTCTTGTGGTGACCGGAGGTAGAATTTAGCTAGAAAGAAGTCACGCAGTGTGGAAATAAACCTGGTGTATGTGTAGTAGGTACATTTGCAACCTCGCCCATTGGCTAGCTAACGCTAAGCGTTAACCTTGTACGATAACGCTAGTGATCTGCTAACAGTACATAAAGTACAGTTAGCTAACTTAACCAGGCTTGCTGAGCTCAGCCCCTAACAAATTAATTTGAAGTGATGCACTGAGGTATGTTGTCGTCTCGTGATTCTGTATGTGTTTTATTACGGACGCTAAATGCAGTGTCACTAACGTTAGCCGAATCATGTTTCAGTTCCGCTTCTGTCTTAAGGCGTCTGTATTTGTATTGTATTTTTCTGGCCGTCAGAATATATACAGTGCTGTCCGCATTTAACCTATTTTTGTATAAATGAGAGACCTGTCTGTTTACTTTCTTCCTTCAAAAGCGTCGAGCTTTGTTTCGTATACTGTAAATACTTGTTATACTCAGCTGCGTGTCCCAACTCTGCCTGCGTTCATCTTCAGCGGTTCCTCTTGAATTTCGTTGTGATTGCGCAAAATATATTTTACATACATTCATTCTTTTTCCACCACCAAACTGTTGAAACACGGAGTATTGATTGGAAATAATTGACCATTATTGATTCAACTGTAGGCTTGATGTATGGGGCTATCTGATGCTGCTGCAGTGATATTGCCTTTTTTTGTGTAGGTGTATCTGTTGTTGAACCATCAGGATGGCAGGGTCCCAGTGGGAGCTTCCTCCAGAGCTATGTTGCCGGCCCATGGCATTTGTGGCTTTGACTGGCCTGGATGTGGTATACAATGCTGTGCACCGGGCCATTTGGGATGCCTTCTGTGCCAATCGTCGCGCTGACAGAGTCCCTATCTCTTTCAAAGTGCTACCAGGAGACCACGAGTACCCAAAATGTCGCACTAAGGTGAGCTGCAGCTTGAGAAATCTTTGACAAGTTGAAATTTACACTATATTATATCCCAGTAAAACTCAAACTATTACTGGAATGTCGTTTTCACACTTGCAAATAACAGCATCACTCCTAAAATGTAGGAAAACACTAACCGCGATCAACAATACTGTTTTCTGTGCCTAGCGAACATCATATGAGTGGTACATCCCTAAAGGCATCCTGAAAACCGGCTGGATGAACAAACATTTAAACCTGGTACCTGCTCTTGTAGTCCTGTTCTATGAATTGGACTGGGATGATCCGCAGTGGAAAGAGAAACAGTCTGAATGTGCAACTAAAGTGGAGATTGTTAGGTGGGTGAAATGAAATTTGTGAAATGCCTTTGGGGGTTTTTTTTTTTTTCTCAGAAATGTGTAGTGAGTTGTTTCCGTTGTGTGGCATTTGTCTACCTTTAGGACCAGTCTTCAGGGTAGAAACACCAAAGTGGCTGTGGTTTTAATCCAGAAGAAAACTCCTCTGCCTCCAGGTAGAGCCTTCTACAAAATAACAATATGTGCTCATGGCAGCTTTTTTTATTTCACAGTCATGCAAAACAAAACAAACCTGAAACATCTTTGTTTCACAGGAGAGGACCTGGTAGCATCAGAGCGGGCACAAGCTCTCTGCCACGCCTGTGATCTGTCTGGCAAGAGCCTCTTTGTTCTCCCTCACACTGACCACTTAGTGGGCTACATTATAAGGTACCTACAACGACTGAGCCGGTGACCTGATTTAAAGTGAAGATTGTGTTTTCACTGAGCATCTTTTTGGTGTGATTGTAAAGGTTGGAGAACGCGTTCTACGAACATGCTCAGACCTATTATTACACTGAGATTCGGCGTGTCAAATCTCACAAAGAGTTCCTCAACAAGACAACCCACCAGGTATGAA